CGAGAGAAAAAACAAAAAAAGAAGAGACAGAGAGGAGAGAGAGAGAGAGAGAGAGAGAGAGAGAGAGAGAGAGAGAGAGAGAGAGAGAGAGAAATTTGGGGCTTTAAAGATTTTGTTTGCTATGGAAATGTTTTGCCTTTTATAAAAGATTCAGCTTTAACATAGAACTCTTAATAAATGTGGCCAAGGGCTGGTGAGATGGCTGGTGATGAACAGCAGTTAAGAGCACTGACTGTTCTTCCAGAGGTCCTGAGTTCAATTCCCAGCAACCACATGGTGGCTCACAACCACCTTGAATGAGATCCGGTGCCCTCTGCTGGCATGCAGGCAATAAGAGTGTATACATAATAAATGAATAAAATTAAAAAAAAAAAAAATGTGGCCAAATCTGTTGCTGATAGCAACTCAAGCCACAAAATCAGTGGCATTAAGTAGATGTACACAGACAGAAGTTGATTCTTAAATAGCTTCCCAAAATAGTGATTAGTTTTTTCTTTATTCATTTTGGGTATGGGTTTTTAGAGGGCAGAGGCACTAGGTTTGTGCTATTTTAATCAAACATTTTATTAAGGAAACTTTTTTATTTCTTTTGGAATTCTTTATTTGGATTAACAAATATTACCATAAGACTTCAAATAGTTTAGCATACTAATGTTTCTTCACATAAGAAAGGGCATGTCTGTGTAATACTGCTTGTTAGAGTACTTTAGCTTGAGTGTGCACAGTTATGCATGATAGAGCAGTGTGAATACAGTGTCTCACTGCACACAGTGTGCTTTGTCTTGGGTGTGTTTGGCCTGTGTATAGGAAGTTTTTCTCTCTGGTTTTGCTTTTTAGTATCTTCACCTAGAAAGGCAATTAACTGCCTGGGTTCTAATTCCTCAAAAATGAATTTTAATGTGCTTATTATAATACACATGATTTATTATCATATTTATTATCAATGTCTTTTACCTCTACTTTAGTATACAGAACACTAGACTAACATAATATATATGAATTTATATGCTTTTACAGTGAATGAAGTTGATATCTCAAGATATTATGAATAATTTATGATAAGATGTTTGGAAACATTGATAGACATTTTAATATATATTATTGAGAAGTAGTTTGATGATCAGAGTTATTTTTAAAACCCAAATGTCTTTACAGTCTTTGAAGACTCTCCGGAATTCAGATCTGAAACCATATATCATCTTCATTGCTCCACCTTCCCAAGAAAGACTTCGGGCATTGTTAGCCAAAGAGGGCAAGAATCCAAAGGTAAACTTGTCACAGTGCTGTATCATTCCACTGACGTCAAGGAAGAAACTACTCTTCTCTAATCTCCTGGAGCTGAGATGCTGTATCAGCACCAGCTATCAAGCTTATTATTCTTTCTATGTCACTTGCCCCCAAACTGCCACAGCTGCAGCTGACTGAACCATGGCAGCTCTCCAAATAAGAGGGTTGCTCCTGACCACCACACCCCATATCTCTTACTACTAACCCCAGATCTATTAGAACCTCTAGAATTCCTTAAAACCGCTTTAATCTCCATCAAGGTCTGACATTTCCAAGGTGATCATATTGCTGCCTCCTCCCCACTCCAAAGGACTCAGCAAATCCCTGGCAATCATCCACTTTTCTCCTTAACTATTCCACATTTGCAGAGTTCCAGAACTATCTTCTTTTTACCGGAACTTTGCTTTGGTTTTTCTTCTCTTCATTTTCAAACATGTTCTGGAACAGAAAGGGAAAAAAGTTCTAAATTATTTTAGATATTTGCTGAATGTGTTGATGAGTCCATGTTATATATGGTTTTCATCTGCATTTTCCTGATGAATAATGAAAATCTTTTCATGTGGGCATTTGAGCATATTCTATGAAGGCCTCCAAGCCTTGTCATTTTTAAAAAGTTGGGTTGGTTTTGTATTCTTTTAGCATTATTTTTTACTGTTTATATGCATGTATACATTTATGTGGGTGCTTGTGTGCCATGATGTGGAGGGTAAGGTTAGAGGTCAACTTTTTGGCAATGGTTCTCTCCTTCCACCTTTACATGGGTCCCAGGAATTGAACTCAGATTGCCAGGCTTGCACTTTTTACCAGCTAAGCTATATTCGTAGTCCCTTAGCACATTTATATATTTCAGTTATTTTCTCCAGATCTCTGTGTTCTGTTTTGTTTGTTTGGTCCTTTGTTTCTTTGTTTTCAAGATGGGTCTCAGTAGCCTGAAACTTGCTGTGTAGACCAGGGTGGCCTTGAATTCATAGAGACCCACCTATTTGTGCTTCCTGAGTGTTGGGTATTAAAGGCATACACCACCACATCTAGCTGTCTTTTTTTCTTTTTCTTTTTTTTTAAGCTTCATCCTTTGGTGATGAGGAGTAAGTTTTGGTTTGATTTGAAAACAGGATCTTGCTATGTAGCTCATGGTAAAATGGAACTGTCAATCCTCCTGCCTTTCTCTGCCTCGCACTGCCTCCCAAGTCCTGGGAATGCAGCCATGTGCCATAACACCCTGCCAGAAAAATGACCGATTTTAGTGAAGTTCACTTATTCATTTTCTTACAGTTAATGAATTTTAGGCATATCTAAAAAATGTAAAGATATTATCCTGCATTTTCTTCTTAAATATTCCTAGTTTTAGTTTGTGTATTTGGTTAAATTAATCATAGTCTTAGTGTGATTTGACAAGTTAGTTTTATTGTTTTTGAAATAATGTGGATATCAAATTGTTCCAACAATGTTTGTTGAAAAGTCTGTCTTTGTAATGTTATTTGGTACTGTACATATATTTGTATGTATATGCATGATGGTGGGAATAGGCGTGTGCCCGGGATACATGTGGAGGTCAGAGACAACCTTGTGGAATTGATTCTCTCCACAGATGTTTGGGTAAGCTCATTTACCTGCTGAGCCACTGTGCTGACACTTTTATTTCTGGATTCTATTCTGCACCTAGACTAATCCCACACTGTTTTGATTCTCATAACTTTACTGTTATATCTTGAAAAACAGACAATAAAGAACAATGAAGTACTGGTGCATAATACAACAAGGGAAATAAAAATACTATGCTAATTGAAAAAAATTCAGACTCAATAGACCACAAGTTATATGATTCTATTCATATGGGATGTCCAGACTAGACAAATCTGTTGATACATGACATAAATTAGTAATTGCTAAGAGATGGGGGGGAAGGTTAATGGCTACAAGCTTATATTTTTTAGGTGGTGTCTCAGTTACTGTTCTGTTGCTGTGTAGAGACACCATGACCAAGGCAACGTAAATCATTTAATTGGGGGCTTGCTTACAGTTTCAGAGGGTGAGTCTATGACCTTAATGGTGGGGAATATGGCACACAGGCATGGTACTGAAGTAATAGCCAAAAGCTTACTTACATATTGGAGTCAGACAGAGACTAGACCCAGCGTGGGCTTTTGAAACCTGAAAGCCCAGCCCCAGTGACACCCCAACAAGACCACACCTCCTAATCCTTCCTAAAATAGTTCTACCAACCAGGGATCAAGCATTCAAAAAATATGACCCATTCTCATTCAAACCACAAGTGGGGGTGAATTTTTTTCTGAAATTGATTATGGTATTAATTGCATAACTCTACAACCATACTAAAAACTATGGAATCATATATTTTAAATTGATAAATTGTATGGTGTATGAATTATATCTCAAGAAAACTGTTAACTTTCCCAGAGGAGATGAAAAATAATCTCATCAGGCTTTTCTGTAGAAATTGAGTAATTGATTAGAAACTGATAGCAAGACTGAACAGAATTACCAAAACACTTTAGAAAACCTGAGAGTTTCTATCATTCTTGTCTTTTCTATTTAAATATTCTTTCCGTTGTCATTTTTATCTTTAATTCATGGGTTATTTAGAAATGTTAATTTTCACCTATTTGGTGATTTTAAAGAATACATTACTGAAGTACAGTTCCATCATTACCAGAGAATGGATCCCAAGGGATGTTAATCTTTTGAAATGTATTGAATTTTCTTTTATGGTCCACCACCCACTCTTAATGTCCATGCACACTTGTAAAAGTGTCTGCTCGGCTCTTGTTGGCTAGAGGGCGGTATATTTCACTTACATTTGTATGTATGTATTTTCTATGTATGCGTGTTATCTTCCAGACAGGGTCTCATGGTGAAGCCCTTGGTGACTTGAAACTATGTAGACCAGTCTTGTGTTACTTTATCACATGATATAACTAGTAGGTAAACACCAATCTTAGTAGTAACGGTGTTACTTACCATTAGTGAGTGGAATCTATCCTAGATTTGGGGAGGGGACTTTAAGAGTAGATGATATGAAGTGATAGATGACAGGTTTTGATGAGAAGTTAATTTTTTTAGTTCATAAAATTTTTAGGCAAAACATTTTATCTAATCATGGTCTATAATTTGAACAAGAAATTCAGATATAATGTAGTAAATGCTGTAAAAGATGAAGTAATGCTTTAGTTTGTTAACAACTAATCTCAAACTTTGAATACACAAGTTTTATAAAAATGTCATAGTGTTGTGTGAACAAAGCATCTTGGGTACCCAATCACAGCATTTCAAAATGGAAATCAGATGTGGAAGAGTTGCCATGATTTTACTGTTTCCTGTTACAGTTAAGTGGAAGTCATTTTGTGGGCCCAATACAGTGATGTGTGACTTCAACATTTGGCCTGAAGTTTATTAGCCATCTTGTCTGATAAGTGTGGTTTGGGGTAGTTTTCATTTCTTGACCGTGAGCCTGATTATTATAGGATTCTGGATAATTTTTGCTGATAGCCTTGTCACTGGCTTGTTTCCATTAAATATCATTTCCTTTACTCAGCATTTTAAAGTAGCCCATTTTATATTATTCCCCAGACTCTGGTGGGATACTCTTGCATCTTAAACTGTCCTTTGTAGGGCCAGTCTTGACATCACACACCTTTAATACTAGCACTCAGGAGGCAAAGGTAAGTGGATGTCTGTGAGTTCCATACCCGCCTAGTCTGCATAGGAAATTTTAGGATAACCAGACCATGTAGAGAAACACTGCATCAGAAAAAGGAAAAGAAAAAAAGTTAAGGACAGTTTTCCTTAGGAGAGCCCAGAGTGGTGGTATACACTTGTTATCCCGCACTAGATGTAGCAAAGAGTTCAAGGCCAGCCTGGGGATACACAGCCAGATCCTGTCTCAGAAAGAAAAGAAAAAAGTATCTTTTGTACATTGAAAACTGAGTTTTAAAGTGTATTAAGTGGAATACCTCCCCCAGTGTTATTAGATTTTCTTAGCAAAAGATAACTCAATATATTAATATTTTTCTTCTCCCATAATGTTAATTCTACCTAAATTTGCCACACACATAAAGGCATTTTTGTTGTTGTCTTTGAGAAAAGGTCTCACTCTTTAGCCCTGGGTGGTTTGGAACTATGTAGACCAGGCTGCCCTCAAACGCACCCTTCTCTGCTCCATAATGCTGAGATTAAAGGTGTGTGCCAGCAAGCCCAGCAGAAGCAAGTGCTCCAGTAAAGAATGTTTTAGAGCACTTACTCTAGTCTTAAAGTTGGACTCCATATTATACACGTTGTTGCTATTTTTTTTAAAGATTTATTATTTTTTACGTGTATGGGTGTTTTGCCTGCATTTATGTCTGTATCGGATGCCTATGGTCCCCTACGAGGTCAGAAGGGACAACAGAGCTACCCATGGTTTTGAAATGTCATATGAGACCTGAGTCTGGGTCCTCTGCAGGAACAAGTAGTGCTCTTAACTGTTGAACCATCTCTCCAGCCACCAATGTTACTTTTGGATACAGGTTATTATGTCATAAAATGTTTGAAAATGAACATGTTTAGGGAATTCAGAGTAATCGCCCATGTTCTTCAAACCTAAAAATGGAAATACATGAAGTGATATAAACCAGGATTCAAACAGGAATTCTAAAGTACTGATGCCAAGGTGGCCCAGGCAGCTCTTGGGTCTACCACAGACAAAAGGAAAGCCATGTAGTGACACTCCTGACTCATTCTGTATTCTGTATGACCTCACAGTTTTTATTTTTTTCATTGCAGCCTGAAGAGTTAAGGGAGATCATTGAGAAGACTAGAGAGATGGAACAAAACAATGGCCACTACTTTGACACTGCAATTGTGAATTCAGATCTTGATAAAGCCTATCAAGAATTGCTTAGGCTCATTAACAAACTGGACACTGAACCTCAGTGGGTGCCATCTACTTGGCTAAGGTGAAGGAAACAGCTGTTTTATCCCATGTCATCATGTTGAACTTTATTTGGCAAACCACCAACAGGAAGATGGCCTCAATGCTGAGAATAAGGTTGAAGGAGGCAGAATAAGCAGCTCACCTATTTGTAGATCCCAAACTAGTGAGAAAGGTCCCTTAGGAGGTTTGTATACAAAACTTGTTTTCTGGGCATGGCTTTAGGGATCCTTGGCTTGTTTGGAGATTTAAAATGGGAACTTTCTTCAGAGCATTTCTGATTTATCCTGGAGAAACCTTTTGTTTTCACCTTCCCAACTCTTTGCCTCTCAGTCAGATGTCAATGAAAAAACATGTATGTATATACATAATACTCCATGTCTCACAGAGTTATAAATATTAACATTATTTAACACTTAAATGACTTTGTGCGATTATTGGGAGAAGGGGCTGTGCTTCTGTGCACTGGGAATAACAGTATTTTCTTAAACAATTGATTTAGTTTTCTTGGGAAAAAAGTGCCGCTTTAGTTTGGAAGTGACTTTTTTAAAGTGTAAATTTGTATGTCTTTTCATTCTGAAAAAACATTCCATCAGAAGTTCCAACTTTGCTGGGCCTGGCAGGGCATGCCTTTAAATCCCAGCATTCAGGAGGTAGAGGCAGGTGGACCTCTGAGTTGTAGTACCACCAGGGTTACACAGAGAAACCCTGTCTTAAAAAAATAAAAATAAAAAAAAAGAACCAACTTTTTAGTTCGGACTTCATGGATGAGAATGCCCTCAGCAGCCTCTAGTGTGGTTAAAAGTGTACAAAAGATGCTGACATTTTTAAAGATAGAATTTTCTAATTCTTTTAGTAAATTGTGATAGTATGAACTGTGTTGACTTTTGAAATTTCTTCCTTGTGATGGAAATAGTTTTTATTTCCATGGAAAGATGACCACATTTGACAGTTTCTGCATTTTTTAATCAGAGTACAGAATTTTATCTATGACTGCTACGTATGTAAGTATCAAACTGGAAATCTGCTGTACTGTATACTGATATTTAATAGACTAATAAATAGCTGTCTTCAGCATTGGAACAAATTTCTATACACATATACACTGAGGGAATACCATGACAATCAACTTTAAGATCAGAAGGAAGACTTAAGAGTCATTGAGCATTTAGAAAATGACAATGGAGGAAAGTTTATTTAAGCATCTACAGACAAGTTTTTGTCCTAACATGGTCTACCTTGGGACCGGAGTACAACAGCTTGCTAAATCTTAAATGTTGGCACTAATACAATTTTTGTACCGTTTCTACAACTACAGCTTTAAATGCAGAGTCTACAAGTCTGCATGCAAGTTAACTTGTAGTCTTTTCAAGCCTTTAAGGAAACTGTAATGTGTAACAACGAACCTCAAATGTGAATGTCTTGATCTTAATTAGCTACAGCATTTCATGTTCCCAAAGCTAAACACTGGAATGATACTGAATTGTGACTTAGCATAAGCAGCTGTTAATGTCTTGTCAGTGACGTTTATGTGTCTGATTTCTCTTCTAGATAATCTTACTGAAACAAATTAGAGTTTGTGATATCTTTTTATGTTCAGTTTTTGCATGGCTTTTGTAGTTGGCTGGCAAGTGTGTCTATTTAGAAACATTTTAAAAACAATTTTCCTTAGGAAAAAAGGAATGTACTTGGGTCAAGGGAAGGAATGCTACACAGTCTGAACACTCCCAGTTTACAGCAGGAAAAATGACAAGTCCACACCCTTGTCAACATTGAAGGTCAATTTACTTAGCACTTAACGATTAAATCTTCTCAGTTTTCCACTGTGTTTTCTCCTCAGGAATGAATGGTAGTCTATGGTCAGTAGAGCTCTGACTAACAGAGACTTGATGCACACCTGAAACCCCAGCGGGAAGATCTAGAGTTCAAGGCTGGCCAGAGCTACATGAGACTCTGTCTCAAAGAAAGAAAGGAAAAAAACAAAACAAAACAAAGCAAAACGATGATTGGATTTGAGTAAATTTTAAGTAATGTCACTGCCACTGGTGACAGTGGGGCCATGTGGATCAAGACTCAAACACATGGCCTATAAAGGCACATACCATGCTACCATGGATTCTTTTAGACTGAGATTTTTCAAAGTCAGTAAGATCCTAACTTTACTCATATCCATACATGGATAGTATATATCCTGAAATTTTCTAAATCCTAGTGATTATGAATCTAATAATGCTCAACATAGTCCCTGAACAGTGAAAAGTTTAGCTGTGCTTAAAAAAAAAAAAGAAAAAAAAAGCTCTGTTATAACTGTAATTGTACAGTGTGAGGGCCAGTTCAATTCCCTATTCCTCTGTGGTTCTGATTGGAAACTGCAGTGCTAGGGAAGCCTCAGAAATGATATTGTGGTTGGCAGGAACATAGCTCAGTTGGTAGAGTACTACCTAGCATTCACAAAGCCCTGTCTAGATCCCCAACACCACAGAAAACCAACATGGGGTTCATAGCTGTAGTCCCAGAGCTTTGAAAGTGGAAGCAGAAGGGACAGCAGCTCACAGTTACCATCAGCCACATGAGATCCTGTCTCAGAAACAAAGTAGACAATATCAGCTAATGACATGTTCTCGGGAAACCCAAACAAGGAAGAACCATCATTTCTTGAATTTCCCTATGTCAGAACAAATAGGACATTAGTATTTAGACTAGTCCAGATTAGTTTTCTATGGAAATCTAGTGTGTGGATTGTTTTCCTTCTCTCATGGCCTAAGGAGTAAATACTGACAAGGAATGATTTGAATGTAATTTTTGTGAATGTGTAGAAAATATTAAACAGGGATTCATCCTTAATGAAGGTAATTACGTTGGCATTCGTTGTTGATCTCCCTTTGTACTGTCTTGTTTCTCTACTTGTTATCTTGAGATGTCTTACTGCACATTGTATTGTAAAAATAAAAAGCAAAACTATTTCAAATCAAAGAAGCCATAAATACTTTCTTTTATTATGTTCCTATCTAAGGTTTGTGCAAATATAGACCACTCCTCTTCCAAGGGTTTGTCAGAAGCAACACTGCTGGAATCTCTGAGTGGAATACAAATAGAATGTAATTTGTCATGGGTTGTCCTTTAATGGCATAGATGGTCAGTCCTATTTCTTTATTGGTTGGAACAAACAAGAAACTTGTTTTTATGAGACAGGGTCTTTCTACAGAGTCCTGGCTGTACTGGAACTCACTATGTAAACCAGGCTGGCCACTACACCTAGCCTTTAAGCTAAAACTATTGAAAATAGTCAACTCAACGGGGTGGTGGTGGCAGCGGCGCACGCCTTTAATCCCAGCCCTTGGGAGGCAGAGGCCAGCTTGGTCTACAGAACAAGTTCCAGGACAAGCTCCAAAGCTACACAGAGAAACCCT